AATCTTAAAAAAAAATCAGTCATTTTCTTATTATTGAGTTTGAGAGTTCTTTGTATATTCTAGACAGATCTCTTTATTAGATATATAATTTGCAATTTTTTTTCCTAGTCTCAGGCTTATCTTTCTGTTCTCTTAATAGTATCTTTGGAAGAGAAGATACAAATTTTGATGAAGTCCAATATATTAGCTTTTTTTTCTATAATGGATCACGATTTTGGTGTTATATTGAGAAATCTTTGCTTAATCCGTGGTCACAACGATTTTCTCCTATGTTTTCTTCTAGAAATTTTATAGTTTTTGGTTTTAGATTTAGGTCTATGATTAATTTTGAGTTATTTTTTGTACATGGTATGAAATATGAATCCAAGTCCACTTTTCTCCTTATGAATACTCAGTTTCTCCAGGACAATTTATTGAAAAGACTTTCCTCCAGTGAATTACGTTTGCACCTTTGCCTCAAATCGATTGGCAGTACCGAGGCTCTGCCTCTGGACTCATGTTTCATCTCTTTTGACATCAACAATTTCATATTGTCTTGATTGCTGAGCAACTTTGTTTTTTCAAAATTGTTTGGTTATTTTAGGTCCTTCACATTTCCATATGAACCTTAGATACAGCATATTGGTTTTAACAACTAAAAAAATTTGCTGGAATTTTTATTACAATTACACTGAATTTATAGATCAATTTGAGGGTGGAGTTGACATTTTAACAATGTTGAATCCTCTGATCCATGACCATGGTATATCTCTTCACTTATGTAGGTCTTCTTTAATTTCTCTCAGCAGTGTTTTGCTGTGTTCAGTGTACAGATCTCGCACACAACTTTTGTCAGATTTTTTCTGCACATTTCATATTTTTGATGCTATTATAAATGATATCTTAAAATATTTCAATTCCCAATTGTTCATTGCTATGATACAGAAATATAATTGACTTTTAAAATTTTTTAATATTTTATTTATTTATTTGTCAGGGAGAGGGAGAGCATAAGCAGGGGGAACAGCAGGCAGAGGGAGAATCAGGCTCCCCTCTGAGCAGGGAGCCCAACGTGGGACTTGATCCCAGGACCCTGGGATCATGACCTGAGCTGGAGGCTGACATTTAACCTACTGAGCCACCCAGGCATCCCTAACTTTTTAAAATCTTTAAATATGGTTTATTTTTTAGGCAGTTTTCTGTTCACAGTAAATATATTTTATTTTTTTATTTTTATATATTGATCTTATATCCTTCAACCTTGCTAAACTATTGTAGCTTTTTGTATGATTTTGTAGGATTTTATACACAATCATGTTTTCTGCAAAATAAAGCCAGTTTTACTTATTCCTTTCCAGTCTGGCTGACTTTTACTTCTCTTTCTCTGTCTCTCCTATTCTCTCTTTCTTTGTATGTTAAATTTTTTAGCTCATTGAAGGGAGGGGTCATCTTTTATAATGGCTGATTATGATTATCAAATTTGAAAAATATTAGTTTAATCCATGAATAACATTATGACATATTTGCAAGTGAAAGGCTTTTGTCTCATTTGCAATTTGCCACAGAAATTGATGGAGAAAAATGTTACAGGTCTTTTATGCAATAGACACAAGTAGTAGTATATAAGATATGTATTTCTGGTATATAGCTGAATCATTGCAGTAATAAGGCTCTGACTCTGGAGATCTGTTACTCAAAGTATACAGTTTGATGTCAGGAAAAAAAATTGACAAGTAGTCATAAATCAGATTTTCAAATGTTAGGTTGGTCATTGGACTAGATTAGTCAGGGTGGGAGAAGTTTAATATTATGCTTTATTGTTAGTATCTTTGCCCTTTTCAGGAATATGGTAGGTTTCCTAATGGTAAAAGGGGCAATTACTTCTTCCTTTCAACTGAGTTCATTGTCTAAAACTTGCAGTATATCATGTAGAAAGGATGAAGCCAGACATCCTTGCCTTATTCCTGAACTTAGGGGGAAAGCATTCGGTATTTTGCCCCTGACTATATTGTAAGCACTAAGTTTTTCATGGATGTCCTTCATCTGGTTGAGGATGTTCCCAACTCCTCCTAGTTTGCTGGGAGGTTTGTTTTTTTCCCCAAGAACAGATGTTGATTTTATCAAAAATTTTAAAGCATCTATTGAGATATTCATAAGCTTTTTCTTTTTTAGTTTGTTAATATGGTGAATTATGTTGATTGGCTTTTGAATGTTGAACCAACCTTGCATTCCCGAGGATAAACTCCTTTGGTATTATGTATTATCCTTTTTATATGTTAGTTTCAAGTCAAGATTTTCTTTTCAAACATATTTTTCTAAAGATTTTTTTTACTTGAGAGAGAGCACAAAGGAAGAGGGAGAAGCAGACACCCTGCTGGCAAGAAGAACCCAACATGGGGTTTGATCCCAGGACCGGGAAATCATGACCTAAGCCAAAGGCAGACACTCAACTGACTGAGCCATCCAGGTGCCCCCCAAGTTAGGATTCTTTCTTTCTTTCTTTCTTCCTTTCTTTTTCTTTCTTTCTTTCTTTCTTTCTTTCTTTCTTTCTTTCTTTCTTTCTTTCTTTTCTTTCTTCTTTCTTTCTTTCTTTCAAGATTTTATTTATTTGCCAGAGAGAGAGAGAGAAAGAGAAGCACAAGCAGGGGGAGTGACAGGCAGAGGGAGAGGTAGAAGCAGACTCCCCACTGAGCAAGGAGCCTGAGGCAGGACTCCATCCCACGACCCTGAAATAGCCACCTGAGCTGAAGTCAGATGCTTAAGCGACTGAGGCACCCAGGCATCCCTCAAGTTAAGATTTTCTTAATAATATTTGCCTCTATGTTTATGAGGGATGTTATCCTATAGTTTTCTTGAGTTGTCTTTGTCCAGTTTTGATGTCAGATAATGGTGTCCTTGTACAATATGATGGAAAATTTTCTCTCCTCTTTTTCAGGAAGAGTGTCTAGAATTGGTACTATTTCTTCCTTAAAAATTTGGTAGAATTCACTAATGAAGCCATCTGGCGCTTTCTTTGTGGGAAAGCTAAGTAAATTTAATGTCTCTAATAGATATTGTGTTATCAGGTTATGTATTTCTTCTTTCATGAACTTTGGTATTTTGTGTCTTTTAAAGATTTTGTCCATTTCCTCTATATTGTCCAATTTATTGGTATGGTGTGTTCATAATTTTCCCTTACTACCATTTTGCAATGTATAGGGTCTGTGTCTTTATTACCTTCATCATTCTCGATATTGATCTTATCTTTTTTCTATAGTATCTTATTTTTTTCTGGTCTAGTCTATTTACAGATTTAGTCATTTTGTTGACCTCACAAAACCAGCTTTTGGTTTTATTGATTTTTTCTATTATTTTTCTGTTTTCCATTTCAATTATTTTCACTTTAATCTTTTTAATTTTAATTCTTATGCTTACTTTGGGCTTTATTTGCTCGTCCATTCCCAGTTCCTTAAAGTAGAAACTGAGGTAATTCATTTGAGACATTTGTTATTTTATAATATAGCTGTTTCTAGTGCTATGATTTTTCTTCTATGTACTGCTTAACTGCATCCCTGCCATTCTGATATTTTTTCATTTTCATTCAGTTAAAAATACTTTCTGGGGCACCTGGGTGGCTCAGTGGCTTAAAGCCTCTGCCTTCAGCTCAGGTCATGATCCCAGGGTCCTGAGATTGAGCCCTGAATCAGGCTCTCTGCTCAGTGGGGAGCCTGCTTCCTCCTCTCTCTCTCTGCCTGCCTCTCTGCCTACTCGTGATCTCTGTCTGTCAAATAAATAAATAAATAATCTTAAAAATACTTTCTAACTTTCTTTTAGATTTTTCATTTCACTCGTGTGTTATTTAAATGTATGTTGTTTAGTTTCTAAATATTTGGGCATTTTCCAGGGGTCTTACTGTTACTGATTTCTAATTTAATTCCATTGTAGTCAAAGAATATACTTGAAAATTTTTTTTTAAGAGGCTCCACACCCAATATGGGGCTCAAATTTACAACCCCGAGATCAGGAGTCAAATGTTCTACCAACTGAGCCAGCCAGGCAGCCGCTAGATATAACTTTAGTATTTTAAATTTTTTCAGGCTTGTTTTGTGGTTTAGAATATGGTCTGTCTTGGTAACTATTTCATGTATATATGAAACTAAGCATTTCTCAGTTTTAAGCATCCATACTTTTTGTTTTGTTTTTTTTTTTAGATTTTATTTTTTGAGAGAGAGAATGCATACGCGAGCTGGGGGAAGGGCATGGAGAGGGACAGGGAGAGAGAGTTTTGAGCAGACTCTGCACTGAGTGCAGAGCCCGACTCAGGGCTTGATCTCAAGACCCCGAGATTACGACCTGAACCGAAACCAAGAGTCAGACACCTAACGGACGGAGCCCCCCAGGTGCCCCCATAGTTTTGTAATTATTATTTAGTTACATTCATAGTAATTTGGGGAGGGTGTCGGTGGTTATTGTCTTGAATCAGATGATGTCTGCCTCTCAGAGGCAGGCTCTGTGTCCTTTTTGCCTTTCTCGCCCCTCAGCCTTTCTCCTGGCCCCAGATGAAAGCTGAGCAGACACGGGCTGAACGGCTGGGGGTGCTCAGAAATGGTTAGACTGTGTTCTTGTTTTTGACTCAGAAAATATCCTCACTGTGCCATGTGATGGGTTGGAGTCACACCCCTTTATGTCTTTGTATCCCTACAGGACTTCGAACGTCGCTTGGCACACGGAAGGCGCTTGGGCAGCGCAGGTGGCCCGGAATGGGACTAGAGAGATGGCTACGGAGGGGCTGCCTCCGAATGGTGGGGCTTCTAGGCCGCCCCGGGGCACCTGGCAAGCTGCTCTGGCCACAGTTGGAGGGGCTGTCCTGTCACAAAGCCCCCTGAGACGTGATGTCACACACAGACACCACTGTCCTTGCAAAAGGGAGGGGCTGGTCTCCGGACTCCCAGACTTAGCTGGGCTCCCGGGCCCTTCGCAGACTCAGTCCCAGAGCCAGACGGGAGGCGAGGAGGACACTGCCTGGACACTGGTATGGTCGCTGGGTGCTCTGCAGACCGCTGACATCATCCCGGTTGGCAACTTTGGCAAACAGGCTCGAAGGCTGTCCTCAGTAAGGCTCCCAAGCAGGTGAAAATTGTCTTTACAGCTCTCAGCTTCCCTTTGCCACATCCCTTCCTACCCGGCACTCCCCTTCCCTTCTTCTCTCCCATGGGACCCATTGACTCTCCTCTCCTCCTCCAGACCACCTCTCAGGAAAAGCCTGATAACTTTGCTCACACTAAATTATAAGTGACTAAAAAGCTTCCTGGCGAATACGTTGCCAGAGGGTTTCTCCTAGAAGGTGGTAGGGAGAAGGGAGGTGCGCAGGGCCCTGCAGAGAGGGGAAGCGAGCCAAGCCTGGCAAAGGCCCCCAGGGTTTGGTGTGGCGCAGAGCGGACTGGCGACCTTGGTGGGAGAGGTCTGCAGGGCCGGGAAGAGATGGAGGCAGCTGTGGGGTGAGGGGAGGCCGAGAGGAGTGAAGACACCCGGGACAGACAGCTGGAGGGCTGGGGTGGACGGTGGGGGCCATTACAGTGGTCGCTGGGGAAGGGATCTGGTTCAAGGGAGAAGGCATTTTTTTTTTTTTAGAAAATTTTTAAAAAAGATATTATTCATTTATTTGACAGAGATCACAAGCAGGCAGAGAGGCAGGCAGAGAGAGGGGGAAGCAGGCTCCCTGCTGAGCAGAGAGCCCGACGGAGGCTCGATCCCAGGACCCCCTGGGATCATGACCTGAGCTGAAGGCAGAGGCTTTAACCCACTGAGCCACCCAGGCGCCCCGAGAAGGCATTTTTTTTAATGGGAGAGATGAGCTGTGTGTGAAATGCTGATTAGGATCCTGAAGAGAAGGAAAGGCTGAATGCATCAGTGGGAGATACGGGCCCCCAAACACCCAGGCGGGGCGAGGATCAGACGGAACCAAGCACGGAGCACGGAGTGGGGTGGCCCAGAGAGCAGGGGGCAGCTGCCTCCCTGAGGTGGGAGCAGAGAATGGGTGGGTTTGGCGGCAAAGGGTGGAGGAACTCCCGTCTAGGGGTGCCTGAGTTTCCTGCTGAGAGTGGAGCAGGTGGCGGCGGGGGTGCAGGGCTAAAGGGAGATTCTGAACTTGTCGCGGGGAGACTAGGGAGCTCCCTTGGGAAGCGGAGGCTTCCCAGGCTACGTTGGGATCTGGCTCACGTTGGAGACCTTGACTTTACTGTGCCCTTGACTTGTATGGAGTTCGACCCTGCCGATGGGATATCAGACGGAGAGGATCTTTATGAGAGACTAGGGGTCTCCCCCAGGACTCCCCAAATTACAAGAGTAAATAATAATGATTAAAAACGAACACTTTCAAATATTTCCTGTTACACAGCATTTCTGAAATAAGTAGCTACCTACATCTGGGGTCACTTTACACCAAATGTTAAATAGAGTGATGCCTTTTTCCTTCATCCTAACCCAAGTCCCTTTCCTCAACCCAGTTCTCTGAGAACTACCTTCCCAGCTCCGAGGGCATTGAAAACTAGCTTTTGTTTGGGACTCTGAGGTCTTGGGAGAAATTCCTGAGCATTCCCAAGCTCCCAGGTCTAGCTCAGTCTGTCCTAAGTTTGGCCCTGGTTGAGCCCTGCGGGTGGAGGTCCTGGCCTTTCCCCAATCATGTCTGGCCCATCACACTCCCTATAAGCTGCCCAGGAAAGGAACACGGGATCCCGGGCCTGCGCGATGCACTGACTGTGGACCCATTTTTCTTCTTAGACTGAAAATGGTGTTTGGACTGGGCTGCCAGAGAGAGAGGTAAAGTTTACATGGGCCCTGCCACAGTGCCTTGAGTGACCAGGGTGGGGGACCCCCACTTGGATCTAAGAGGGAGGGAAAATAGGGTTTTCTATTCCCCTTTCCTTGACTGTTTCAGTAGCTCTGTGACTCAGGGTTGGGGTGGAAGGCCTGGTCCTGGCAGCTGGGACCTGCCTGTTCATGTGCATGCGTGTGTGTGTGCATGCATGTATATGTGTGCATGTGCGTGTGTGTGTGCGCATGCGTGTATATGTGTGTGCATGCGTATATATGTGTGCATGTGTGTGCGTGTGTATATGTGTGCACGTCCGTGCGTGTGTGCGTGTGTATATGTGTGCAGTGCGTGTGCATGCATGTGCATGCACGTGTGTGTATATGTGTGCACTGCATGCGTGTGTGCGTGTGTGCACATGCACACAGGGAGCCACTGTCCCAGCAGTGTCGAGGTGCTCTGGTTGTGCCAAGGGAGGGGGCCCAGAAGAGCTGGGGGAGTCATGGGGATACAGTTTCTGATCGGAATTGTGGGATCTGTCAGTCCAGAGCAGGGAGGCCTTGGAGGACCTGGGGGGGTGGGGAAGAGCTGATGGGGCACTGAGTACCCAGCCACCGCCAGGTTCTTGCTTTCTGGCTGGGAAGGCGAGGTGGACCCAGGGGACAAATGCGGAAGGAAAGGAGAGGGATGTGCTCCAGGCTCTGAGTCTGGCTCTCAGCGGAGGCACAGAGCCTGGTCCCCGCCACACCATCCCGGGAGGCGGGAAGCCCCCTGGATCCCAGTTACAGCTGAGGGATTTATTCACCTGCAGTGTCAGGACATGCACAGGTGGCGTTGGCTGTGGGGTTTGGAGTGGAAGGAACCCGGTGCCCCCCACCCGGCCCTGCAGTGAAGGCAGAGGTGCCCCAGCTTTACCCTCAACTCCACTTTCCTTCCAGGCTCTACAAGCCCCTGTACATAGCACACCTCTTCATTCTTGCAGGTAAGGGCCTGGGCACGGGGGTCATGGCGAGAGTTGGGGGGGGGCATAGGGGGTGCTGGTTCTCACCTCAAGGTCGCCCCCTCTTCAGCTGCCTACCCCCGGGCTCCCAGGGACCTGCCGTGCTGCTCAGAATCAGGGCTGCCCTCTGTCCCCTTCCTTCCTCGGTACCTTCCTAGTGAAACGGATTTGAACCCACATTTGATTCGAAAACCCATCCTCCCCCATCCCCAGAAAACCCATGAACCAGAACCCGCACAGCCTCATGTCCTGTAGCAGTGACCTTCAACGCTGGCCTGCACACCAGTAATGGGAAATCACATATCCTCTCATATACTTCAATACCTAATGTCTTTCGTTTCCAGTTCAATTTAAAAGGATGCGATTTCTGGCACATTGTAAATCCTGGCATCGTCATGTGATTGTCTTGCTCTTAAATGTTTCATTCAGTCTTTCTCCACTGCTGCAGGTGTGGTGTACTACTATTTTCAGGGGCCTGTGGGGAAGACAGCCCCTGACCATGACATGGCTGAGGAGCCCTCACAGGTGAGTGCAGTGGAGGCCAGGGTGGTCTCACCGTAGCCTGAGTAGAGGTCACGCTCCTTGACCTCAACTGTTAACCAGCTGTGTGCGTGTGAACGTGAGGGCTCTGCAGAAATTGGCTGTGTTTCTGGCAAAGTGTCAAACTGAGGCTCCATCCCTCGCGGGCCAGCTGTATAGTCACCTGGGGGCTCTGCGGCCATGGCCTTGGCCGTGGCTGTGGCATTGGCCATGGCATCCACAAGCCAAAAGGAGGAGATGGTCCCTCATTCATGTGAGTAGCTCTGGAATGTGGCTCAGTGCTCATGTGTGGATGGGGTGGCGGGGAGCAGGACGCCTGCTAGGGGTTCATACTCTCCTCCATGTCCCAGAGCTAAGAACCCAGTTCAGAAGCCCCTGCTTGGAGTCCAGCGTGCCGCCCACCAAGGGCCGCATACCGGACTACATACCGTGTCCGTGTGCTCAGTCATTGTAACCCTCACAGGAGCCCAGCAGCTCACACTTCATGTAGACGGGAAGCAGGCCCCCAGGGGACAGTGATGAGCCAGGCTGCCCGAGGTGACATGCCAGAACCACATCCTTGATCTCTGGAGGCCTCCCGCTCTCTGCACAGTGCCGTTGGGAAGAGGGGATTCCCATAGAGATAAGGGCGTCGGTGACTCAGAAGCACCGAGAAGTATGTGCTACACCTTTTGGGGCTGACGATTCAGAGGCGGGGAGCCCCTAAGAAGGCCCGTGTTGGCAGGTGCCTTGGAGGCCACGGAGTCCAACTTCACTTGTTTCCTTTGTTGTTGTTGTTTAAAGTAACTGGTCACGTTTCCACTTAGTTTCAACGTCATCAAAGGTAGGCATGTACACAGTTTGCTTCTTCAAAGTTTTAAGACCTGAAACCAACAAATGGTTGCCCTGTGCCCCACCCACGATCCCCGCGCCCCAGGGTGGGAATCTTCCCGGCCTCCAACTTTTTCATCCGGAGCCTTTGATTTTTCCTGTTTTTTGTTGTTGTTGTTGTTTAAGATTTTTATTTATTTATTTGAGAGAGAGACAGTGAGAGAGCATAAGAGAGGAGAAGGTCAGAGGGAGAAGCAGACTCCCTGCGGAGCAGGGACCCCGACGTGGGACTCGATCCCAGGACTCTGGGATCATGACCCGAGCTGAAGGCAGTCGCCCAACCAACTGAGCCACCCAGGCGCCCTGATTTTTCCTGTTTCTAAATAGCAAAGCTCATCCTGCTTTGTCTTGAATTTTCAGATTTAAACAGTAGCCAGTGAATTCCTTTTTTTCTTTTTTTAAAGATTTTATTTACTTGACAGACAGAGATAACAAGTAGACAGAGAGGCAGAGAGAGAGAGAGAGGGAGGGAAGCAGGCTCCTCGCTGAGCAGAGAGCCCGATGTGGGGCTCGATCCCAGGACCCCGAGATCATGACCTGAGCCGAAGGCAGCGGCTTAACCCACTGAGCCACCCAGGCGCCCCAGCCAGTGAGTTCCTACAGTGGGAGCGGAGGACTGAGCTCTCGGAACTGTGCTGCCCGTGTGCTGCCCCTCAACACACACATCACCTCCCTCCAGCCTTCCAGTATGGCTACAGCCGGGCTTTTGGATCATAAAATCTCTAACCTGAGGAATGACATTTTCAGTCATTAAAATCTTTTAAGTAACATGGTTGCCATTTGGGTGATTTTTCTATCATGTTGCCTTTTAAGTCCCCCTCCACTGTAGTGGGCTCATTGCTGGCACCTGGGTAACCCCAGCAGTTCCATCCCTTCCAAGAATTCCTCCGGACTCACGGTGCAGTCAGCCCTTCCCCAACCCGACAACCCGAGAACAGTTTTCTGTTCTGATAATTTGGCCTTTGCAAGATTGCCCTGTAAGTGGAGACATCTGCCTGTCGTCTGGTCTCTCACTGACTTTGGGGCAGGTGAGGCCTCTCTCGGCAGGTGGGCGGCCGCAGCTCGTTGGTTCCCCCTCCACGCTGGGCAGGTGTCCTTCGGAGGCGGGCTGCTGCAGTTTGTCTGCAAGGCACCTGAGAGAAATCTGGGTGTTTCTAGTTGGGAATGATCAAAAATAAAGCCTCGAAGGGTCATAGATGGGTGGCTCAGTCCGTTTAAGTGTCCAACTCTTGGTTTCTGCTTAGGTAATGCTCTTGGAGTCATGGGATCGAGCCCCTGCATCAGGCTCCGTGCCCAGTAGGGAATCTGCTTCAAGATTCTCTCTCCCCTTGGCCCTCCCCCATTCATGCTTTCTCTAAAATAAATAAAATCTTTTTTTTTAAAGATTTTATTTATTTATTTGAGAGAGAGTGAGAGAGATCATGAGCAAGAAGAAGGTCAGAGGGAGAAGCAGACCCCCCCCGTGGAGCTGGGAGCCCAATGCGGGACTCGGGGATCATGACCTGAGCCGAAGGCAGTCATCCAACCAACTGAGCCACCCAGGCGTCCCAAATAAAATCTTTTTAAAAACCCCACTATAATGGGGCGCCTGGGTGGCTCAGTGGGTTAAAGCCTCTGCCTTTGGCTCAGGTCATGATCCCAGGGTCCTGGGATCGAGCCCCACATCGGGCTCTCTGCTCTGCAGGGAGCCTGCTTCCTCCCCTCTCTCTCTCTCTCTCTCTCTGCCTACTTGTGATCTCTATCTGTCAAATAAATAAATAAAATCTTAAAAAAATAAAAACCCCACTATCAATATTCATTTATAAGTTTTGTGTCAACATCGGTTTTCCCTTCCCTTTGTGCTGGCAGCGAGCCTGGTGGGTCATGGGGTCGGCGTCCGGTTGGTTTGGTAAGACCCCAGCACTTTCAGAGGGGTCACGGCCCATTCTGCTCTGTCACCAGCCCCGAGGGCGAGCTTCCAGTGGTTCCACATCTGCCCCAGCACTCGCCATGGGTTTTTGGCCATTCGCGGTCGTCTGTCATCATTTCTATTAGACCAGCATGGAGGGCTTACATTTGGCCCCCGTGAGAACGGTGTTCCAAGCTGAGTCACCTCGTGTACCCTGGTTACTCTTCTTGGTGTATGATTTGGGTCTTGTCTCTTTTTTTCTCAGTTTTCTCTCTACCTACAATTAATTTACCCAGGCTCTCCGCCAAAACTGTCAATCTCCTTGCAGTACATTTAGACAAATTAGGTGCTTTATCTGATGGTCCCTGCAGAGCCATATCTCCCGGAGCCCGCCCTCCTGCTGTCCCCACACTGACAGGATGTCCTGGAGGTTTGCTGCTCAGCTGTCCTGGGACCTCCCTTCTTCATCGCTCTGGGGAGCCCCTGTCACCCCTTTATTTTGATGGAACACAACCTCTAGGGGAACCTCTGCTTCCTGGGGGGTAGTCTTGAGATATCACGTGTCTGAAACAGTCTTAATCCATATTTGACTGAGAGTTCGGGTAGGTATAGGATTCTAGACTAGAAATATTCTCCTAGATTCTGAAGATTCTCATTGTCTTCTGGCTTCAAAGACTTTCAAAGAAAGGTCTGAGAAAAGTTGAATTCCTAGAACAGACTTTTTTCTTTGTATTTCTGGAAGTTTTTGGTTCCTGGTCCTCGGTGTTCTGAGATTTATTGATGACAAAACCCGGGGCTCATCTCCGCCATCCATTGTCCTGGATGCTTGCTGACTCCTCCTCTTCTGTAAATCCATGTCCCTCACGTTTGGGAAATTGTCTTGATGACACGGGGATGTATTTACCTGGCATCTCCCCGTCCCCTCAGCCTGCTGGCTGTTCCCTCGCAGAAAGATCTATGAGCGGCGCCTGGGTGGCTCCGTGGGTTAAGCCTCTGCCTTTGGCTCAGGTCATGATCTCAGGGTCCTGGGATCGAGCCCCGAATCAGGCGCTCTGCTCAGCAGGGAGCCTGCTTCCCCCTGCCCGCCCCCCGCCCCCTCTGCCTGCCTCTGCCTGCTTGTGATCTCTGTCAAATAAATAAATAAATAATTAAAAAAAAAAAAAAAGAAAGAAAGATCTATGAATTAGCTGTGGGAGCTCCTGGTCTCTTCTCTTTGTTCTTTCTGGGAAAAAAAAAATTTTTTTTTCAACTTTACCTCCTACATTTTGATTGGATTTTTCATTCCTATTATTCTGATATTTTTGTTTTCAAGAATTAGAGGCTTTTTGGCTGTTTCTGTTTTAGGGCCTATTCTTGTTTCATGAATGCCAAGTTTTAGCTTTCTAAGGACACGTAGTTTTTAGGTGTCTGGTGTCTGTGTGTGTGGGCATCGACAGTGAATTAGCCTGTCACCTCAGGCTTCCCTCCCTCCTTGCTCTCCTTGTCACACAGCTTGAAGGGGAGACCTTAAGGCCGGTGTGGGGGCCGATGGATAAGTGTTACCCTGTGACCACTCAGGTAGGTCAGGGCCGGGGAACCCCACTTCCCCTGGAGTGGGCCTCCTGGGCAGGTGCAGTGGGAGGACCGGCCCCTCCCGGCGTGAGTCACTTCTGTCTCCCCCTGTAGAGACGCAGAGTCAAGAGCGGGAAGAAGCAAGCCTCTGAGGTAGGCGAGGCTCCCTTCTGTCAGAGCTCCACGGGACGCAGAGACACCCCTGCTGGTGGCAGGGGAGTCCCAGGGATGGTGGCAGCCCCCCCCCCAGAAACTTGCAGCTTGCTGAGAAGGGAAGGGCTCCCCTGGGAAGGTGCGGAGGACAGGGCAGGAGGGCAAGGCGCTCTGAGGGCCCTTCTGCCCGTGTCCCCCCACCTCCTCCCTGCAGGCCATGACCCCCAAGGCAACGGGAGGACTGAGCAGTGCTGCCCCCACGGAGGAGACTGAGCTCTGGTCTCAGCGTGAGGGGGAGGTGAGGCCCCCAAAGGAAGAAGCGGCCAGCCTGGGCCCCGTGGCCAAGGAGGTGGCCGAGGAGCAAGAGGCAGCGGGGACCCTAGGCTGGGAGGTGAGGAAGCCTGGTGCCCCCACAGGAACATCCCCAGCGTGGGCCCTTCTGTGAAGCCCCAGGCGCTGGGGCAGGGGAATGCAGGTGGGGGGGTGGGGAGGAGGACCGTGTTGGGGAGGGAGATGGGTGCCCAAACTGCCAGCCCAGGGAGGAAGGAGCCGTAGGGGGTGGAGCAGCAGCAGCCCCAGAGGAGTGGTTCGACCCGCCTCCCCTGGCCTCCCAGTCTATGTAATGTGGCTCCTGTCTCGTCCCACCACTGTGCCCCATCCTTCCTCTCAGGTGAGCAGAGATGTCGGACAGGAGACTGTGGCATACCCTCCGGGTAAGACGGCAGACCCGCTGGGCTGTCCAGGGACCCTGCAGAGCTCCCAGGGGGCCCGGCCTCTCTCAGGCCTCCAGCCCTGCACCCAGGAGGGGAGGGAAGAGGCCCAGGTAGCCAGATGCCCAGTCCTGCCTGAAGGTCTCCGCTGCCTCCTGCTTCCTACCCGGTCGGCAGGAACCTGAGGCCCCTTGCCCTGGGCCTTCCGTCAGCGCTGGCCTGTTCCCCCAGCGTCAGAGGGCGCCCCGGCCCTGGGGACACACCGCCCCAAAGGGACCCACAGGGCACGCCCCTTTGTGCTTTGTAGAAGTGTCTGAGGAGGACAGCGAGGAGGAAAGGCCTGGGGGCTGGGTCCCGCAGCGCCTGTGGAAGCTCTGGCTGGACTGGTTCCCAGCCCCTGACGTCCCAAAGACACAGAACCATGAGTGACCGAGTGTCCAATAAATCCGGAGACTTGCTGCTTCTGCCGGCCCAGCCACTTCCTTTCAGGGGCTTTGTCTAAACGCAGTGAGGCCTGGTCCACACTCCCTGCCCAGACGAGCTGCCCCCACAACTGCTGGTCCTGCGGAGAGGCCCCCGGCCCCGTGCCAAAGGGCAGAGCAAGTTCCCCGAGGGCGGAGAGCTGGGGAGCTCCATGGCGTGACCACACTCGGAAGGTGCAGGGGGTCCCCCGTCAGGGGTGCTTTTGGGTACGGGGCGGAGGGATGTTCTCTGGCGAAAGAGACACCCTGACCTCTCTGGTCCGCAAACAGTTCCCTGAAGGCACCAGGGGGTCTGCTCAGGACCTGGCTAAGCGGGTGCCTCCCGGGCGCTCAGTTCAGAACCGGCCAGTTGTGGGCGTGAGCACAGGGGGAGGACAGCAGTCCTGCTCTCGGCCAGGGCTCCAGGCTAACAGGGTCACGGCCCTGGAAGTCAGAACAGGACCACCGGACCCAGCAGCTAATCTGGTGCAATCATCCCGTTGGGTTAGGGGGAAACAGAAGCCCAGGACAGGCAGGAACCGGCCCAGGGCCACAGAGAACCCCGGCAGAGCAAGACTGAAATCCAGGGTGTCCTCCTCCAAAGTCTCCACATGGCCGCCGCCTCCTCTGGCCATTCCACTCTCACGTGGGTCCGAGGCTGACCCCTGTCCCTAGGGTACCTGGGGCCCCCAGGTCTCACTGCCTACCCCTGGCCAAGTCTCCTGAGAGCCTAGCTTGACTCAGCCACTCAGAGGACCGTGCCCTAGGTTGGAGCCCCGATGAGTGTCCTCCTTCTGCTCCAGCCTGGCCACGAATGGTAACTTTTTGGCAGGTGCCTAGACGCAGGCGTCCCTGAGGAGCTGGGAAAGGTGTCTCACCTAGCTTGGGGTGACTGAAAGGCTTAGGGAGGTGGCTCACTCCAGGACTGCCAAAGGGTTCCCAGGGAAAGTTCTGGCACCAGTGGACTGAGCCCTGGGTGTTAACCTGGCACCCCCCTTCATGGCCATCCCTGGGTTTCCCCACCTTTGAGGGCGTCGTAGATGAAGGGGACAGAAGAGCTGGTGCTGGGGCGCCTGGGTGGTTCAGTGAGTTAAGCCTTTGCCTTCGCCTCAGGCCATGATCTCAGGGTCCTAGGATCAAGCCCCGCATCGGGTTCTCTGCTCAACAGGGAGCCTGCTTCCCCCCTGCTCTGCCTACTTGTGATCTCTGCCAAAAAATAAATAAAATCTTTAAAAAAAAAAAAAAAAAAGAGCTGGTGCTGCTGGCGGAGCTGCTGGGCCATGGGGTGGGGTGGTAGGTGGCGCTGGACCTGAGAGGTGGGTGTCCGGGCTGAGTGGGGCCCTGTCCACCCCCACCAGGCCCTGGCTGAGGGCTCTCAGCAGCCCGTTCTAGCTCTGCCTGGCATGAGCCAAGACCTAAGGACAGACATCGTCCCTATCCCAAGTCGCCAGGATTGGGTCCCCGTGGGTAACTAGGGGTAAGCTGTGATCTACTGGCCCTCAGCATCCCCATCTCTCAAATGGGATCACGTGCAAGGTCAGGATGGCTCAGGCCCGGGCAGGGGCAGGGGCTGGCCCTGGGGAGGCTGCTGAGGCCCCGGCACGGCGGGGGGCGGGGCGGGGCGGTCAGGGGCCCCTGGAGGGGACTCGGAAGCCAGGATGGAGCCACCCAACCGGTTTATTGGCACAGCGGGCGGTGCTGAGAAGCCAGTGGGGGAGCTTCCTCCCTCTAGCGAGGCACGGCGCAGAGCTGGTAGGGGGCGGGGGTCACCAGGAAGGAGAAGGTGCCGCGGTCGCTGGGCCGGCGCCGCCCGGGGGGCACCGAGAAGACGAAGCGCTGCAGGAGGCGGCTGAAGAAGAGGAAGAGCTCCATGCGGGCCAGGGGCTCCCCGAGGCAGGCGCGGCGGCCTGCGGGAGTCCGGGGGTGCGCCGTGAGCCCGCGGGCTTGGGGCCCACCCTCCCGGGCTCCCTCCCGAGGGGTCGGCGAGTCGGGCAGCCCCGGCACCTGCGGAGAAGGGCATGAAGGCCGCCTGCTTGACGAAGCGGCCCTCCGCGTCCAGGAAGTGCTCGGGGTCGAACCGGAAGGGCTTCTTCCAGGCCTCCTTGTCCTTCAGCACCGACGACAGGTTGGTGATAAGCCTTGTCCCCTGGCAGGAGAACCCGGCCTGAGTGGGATCCGGGCGTCCCTAGCCCAGACCCCGCCACCAAACACGGATGGGCGCACACTCTGCCCGGCACACGCCCAGACTCTTCCAAGTAACCCCTTGGCCCGAGAAGCTTCTCGGCACCCTCTCTGTGCCCACCGGCGGGGCTGAGTGCCTCATGACCCATGGGCGCCCACACTGTACCGTCCCTGTCCCAGGCTCCTCCAGCACCCTGTGGCAGATTTTAGTTCGTCTTCCCCATGGGACTGGGGGCTCTGTAGGGACAGGGCCAGCCCTGCCGAGGCTCTCGCCCCCACCCCCACTGTCTGCGGAAATGCAGACTGGGGGGTCCAGACGCCCCCCTCCCTGGGATGTCAGCTGTGCTGGGGCTGCCAGGCCGGAGGTGGTGCTGAGCTTCCGCTGGGGAGCCTCGCACGCCTACCTTGGGGATGAGGAAGCCCTGCACTTCGATGTCTCGGGTCGTCATGTGGGGCACGCCCAGTGGCACGATGTCCCCAAAACGCTGCACCTCATGGATCACGGCCATGGTGAAGGGCATGTGGGCCTGGTCCCCCATCTCCGGTTGCCGCACCTGCCCTATCACCTCATCTATCTCCTGTTGGACACGTCCTGGACAGAGAGGCACCCCCACAGCGGTCAGAACCCCGGGGTCTGGACTCCAACCTCTGCCTGACTCCCGAGGAGGGCTGTGCTCACGAATACGCAGCTCCTACCTCCGACCAGAGCCCAGCCTCTGCTCGGGGCTTCGGTGGGACGGGGGGGCGGGGGTTGTAAATCATATTCAAGAGGCCCCAGCCTGTCCCTCTCCTCCCTCGTCCATCCCACGGGCCCCCAGCGTGGGCTTACGCTGCACGTCCGGGTGCAGGATCATGAGCAGCAGGGCCCAGGTCAGCGTGGTTGAGGTGGACACCATCCCAGCCGCAAACAGGTCAGATGTCACCATGCTCAGGTTCTTGTCATTGAAGCTGCTCTTGGGGTTCCCCTTGGCCTGGGCCATGCCAAGAGGGTGAGCTCTGGGGCAGAGGGAAGGAGCCCCCAAATGGCCTCCCAGCCCCCGGCCAGCAGTAATGACTGATCACGGGCTGATACAGGGGCCCCCCCTGCCTGGGTCTTGATTCACAGGGCCCTCAACCCACAACCATCGTCCCGGACACCTCACCTTTTCCACCTCATCCAGGAAGGCATCAGTCAGGTCTCGGGGTGGCTGGGTCGGGTCCCGGGTTGTCCTGTGTTCCTGGACTAGCTCATCTATCAGGGTCATGAAGGCCTTCTGTGCTGAGAAGACCTTGCCAGCCAGCCCGGGGATGTGCAGGAGCACGGGGAAGGAGTTCAGGACCTGTGCGGGTCACAGATCGGGGACCTTCCTGTGCCCAGGTGTTCTCTTGATTAGTCAGGACACCGCCTCCAGGGTGTCCGCTCCGCCTCCGGAGTGTCCCCACCACTGACATGGTTCCTTCCTAACTTCGGCCTTGATCCTTTTTACTGGCCCGGGGCCCAGTAGGATAAATCTAAAATCTCGATCTCATGGGCTCTAGTGGCTTCCAGTGACGGAGGTGCTAAGATTCCGTAGCCTTCTCCCGGCCCCGTCGACCCTGGGCCCTCCTCCGCCGTCTCCCTCCTCTGGGACTTCCCCACCTCCAGGCCTTCCGCCTTGGAAGGGCTTCTCTCCCGCACCCCGCTCTCCCCACGCCCTCCTCCCGGAGGCCCGGTTTAGGGCGAGGCCTGTCCCCGGCGCCTCGCCCCGCACCTCGCGCAGGACGCCCTGGTCCTCCTCCACGCCCGCGTGCAGCCGGTCCAGCAACTTGAGGAGCCGCGGGTCGTCGTACTCGAAGCGGCGCCCGTAGGTGAGGGAGGAGATCACGTTGCTCACCGCTTTATCCATGAGGGCGCCGGGGCTGAAGGGGCGTCCTGGGAGGGGGCAGTGCGGGTCCGAGGCTCGCCTCCACCGCCCCTTCCGCGGCCCCTCCGTCCACCCCTGTCCCCGGTGTCCCTCGGCCGCAACTCTCACCGGCGTAGTCGGCGAAGGCTTCACAGAGGCGCGAGGCCTCCTCGGTCACCCACTGCTCCAGCGACTTCTTGCCCAGGCCGAAGTTGCGCAGGGTGGACAGGGAGAAGCGCCGCTGCTCCCGCCACTCGCGCCCGTAGCGCGCCAGGATAACCCCTGGGGGCGGGGCGGTGGGCGGAGCTATGGCGTGCCCGCCCCGCCCTTTCACGAGGCCCCTGCCCCGTTCACAGCCCCACCCCCTTGACACAGGCCCCGCCCCCTGCCCCCCTACACCCACACTTACTCCCCACCCCCACTAGCGCCCACTTTGACACCCACTTCCTGCTGGGACAGGTCGCTCTGCCTGCACGCTCTGCTCGCCAGCTGGGGGCAGGTGCTGGCCCCACTGTGCTCTGCTCACTTGACTCCCTCGCCGCCAGGGAAAGTCCTGGCCCGCCCCCTGCCTCGCCCACACAGATTTTGTCCTCCTCATTGCCGCCCACTCTGACCTCGTGTTCCTGTTCCCCGGAGCCGGGGTTCCACGCGGCCTCGGTCAGGCCCCGCCATTATCCTCCCACGTCCCACCCAGGCACTTCGCACCAACTCCATCCTCCCTGCCGCCCCTCCAAATTCGCTGCCTCTTCCCTGCACTGGACGTCCACGACCCTGCCCCCGCGTGGGCCTGCCGGGGTTTGAGTCACTGCTGGCTCAGTCCCGGCCAGTCCCTGTCGGCCCCCCTCCTCCGCTTGCCTTGGGAGTGCGGCTTGAACCCCAGGTGCTCATAGATGGGCATCGGCGGCCGGTCGGCTGTGTCCTCGCTGTGGTACACCAGGGCCTCGCGCACGGCGTCCAGGCCATTGAGCACGACCATGGGCGTCCAGGCCAGGTGCAGGGTGAACACGTTCCCGAAGCGCTGCCGCAGCTGCAGATCAAGGGTGGAGGGCGTTGGTCAAGCCGGATGGCCACCAGGCTGCCGGCCTCAGTCTCATGGCGCCCAGGCAAGCTTGGCCTGGTGACCACTGGGGTCACATTCTCTCTGGAGAGGGGGCTGATGCTGGATCACACCTCTTAGCTATGACTTTGCAAAGGTGACCAATATTGTCACTAGGCTGTTAGGATCCCAACCCACAGGTGAAGAAACTCAAGTTCATAGAGGTGAGCACTGAGGCCCAAGTACCCGCAGACCCAGAGCTGAACCTGTCCCTCTCCTGATGTCAGCCTGTTTCCTGATTTAAATGGGGCTCATGTCCAGATTCCTGCCCCCTGATGTAATCAGAAGGGACCAGGTCACGTGATTTAAGTGCTGTCCAGCTGGATCTCAAATCTACTGCCAAGACCACACCCCGCTCTAGGCCTTTGCTCTCTCTGACCTTTGTTTGGAAAATCCAAACTGTCCTTGAGGCACCAACGCCCTCCCCGGGTCAGCCCTTCAAACCTGCCTCCTCTTCTCAGCCCATGCCCTTATGCAGCCCGGGCTTCACACACCACCTGCTGTCTGCTGCTAGGTGAGGTCCCAGGATCTCTCCTCCCCAACCCCCACCTTCGTTACCTTGTCGAAGTAGCAGAGCGTGTTCTGGAAGTCCATCTGCAGCAGGTTGCCCAGCAGGGGCAGCGGCATGGGGCCTGGCGGGTAGCGTGCAGCCCAGCATCTGCGTCTGTGAATCAGGTCTACCAGGAGCAGGAAGATGGCCACCGCCACGGCCAGGGGCCCCAGCGTAACCCCACTCAGCAGCCCCATGGTTGCCTCAGTGCCCGCTGGCCTCCTCTGGCACGCGGGTGTCCCTTAGCACACCAGGGACCCAGGACCAGCCAGTAGGGGCGCTCTCCCACACTGAGCGAGCTCATCCAGCCTGGCCCCGCTTTCTAAAGGGAGGCGAGACTGGCCTTTGCCCTCCGCCCTGAGTCAGCATGTCAGGGCGATTGCATTGCCAGAGGGTACGGGGGGGGGGCCAGGGAAGGTCAGGTGCAGGGGTGACCACAGGAGACCGGTCCCTCCTGGCCTCTCCAGGTGCTTCCCCCGGCTAGTGAGGTGGGGGTAGGGGAGAGATGATGAAGACCCCCCTTCAGCCTGACTGCAGGAAAAACCAGGGGTCACTGGACTTGATCCTGCCACCCAGCCATCAAACGAATCACACCCTGTAATATGGTTGCAGCCTTGTCCCCAGAACACGTCCTTGCCCTCACCTGCCTCCTCCCAACTGGTTTTCGCCTCCCAAGTTTGTTACTGGCCCTTGCCCAGTGCTGTAGGGAGGTCACAATGATCAGAGGGACCATGTGCGGGGGCTAGGGGGGTGGGGGGGCGGCGTGGAAATGAAGTTCTCGGTTTCCCCTCACTTCACACCAGTTCACTCAATATGCACAGAACCACACAATCACCAACTGCTCACACATTCACAGACACTACCCACATGTTCACACACTGACACACACAGGTATGCATTACACACTCACACACATGGAAAACCACACACATGGTACACACATGCACCACTCTCTCTCTCACACACACACACACACACGCATGCATGCACACACTTGGACGCAGCACCAAGTTCCCTAGTTTCCAGTGGCTGCCTGGGCTGGACCCCAGCCTCTTGCCCCAAGGCCACCCGCAATGGTACTGAAGCCCCCCACCAGGTAGGCCGCTGGCCCAGCTTCCTCAGTTCTGGCCTGACCTTGGCCTAGTGAGTCCACTTCTGGGGCTGGGGAGGCAGCTGAGTTGACAAGAGCTCCCTTGTCGCCCAGACCAGCCAGTTCAATGGCCGGGACACTGTTCCCTAGGCTCTTTACATATTGGTCCCGGGACCTCCTAGCATCACCCGTGATGCATCTTCTTGGGCCTGTCCACTTTCCTGACTTGGAGAAATGGGGCGGGGGAGTTACCCTTCTGGACAGAGCTGCTGCTGAGCTCAGGCTATGAGGGTCACTTAGAGAAGATGTGTCTCTGTCCTCTGAGGAGTGGGCCTGCTTCCTCATTTGTCCTTGAACATCAGCTGCTCAAATTCATTCTGAAAGACGAGGGGATGGAAATCAAACAGGCCACAATTTTTTTATGCCCTCGCAGGCGTCCCCTGCTGAGGACCACAGGGAATGAATTCTCAGGTCCCCCTGCCCGCCCGTGTCAGCTCCTCTCTCCCCCAGGCCCCCTCCCCCTGGCCCCAGCCCCGTCCCTTCCAACCCCGACTCTGGGGTTGGACTCTGGAAAAGAGATGAACCTCCGTACCACCCGCACGGTGGTGCCTACCAGATCCTTCCTCTTGCCCAGACTCTCTGCCCCTCCTCTGGGGGGTTGACCACGTGGTGCCAGACCTCAGGCTCCTTCTTCAACAATGAGAGGGCTGATTTGAGGCTGAGTTGTTAAATCGAGGCTGAAGGGAACTGAGGCCAAAACCCGTTCAAATGAGAAGGTCCAAGAACCCAGAGGGTGGGGAAGAGCATTTCCTGGGTAGGTGTCGGGCCCCCTCCCCCATCCCAGGGGTGTATGAGGCACTCCGTTCTAGAAACAGTTGGATTACTCTCTCCCAGGCTGACGAAGGGCCTGGAGGAGGAGGCATTCCCCACCGCCCTCCCATACCGCCACCCTGTTCTCTCTCCCTCCCCAGCGGTAGGAGAACCAGGATCTTCCTGGGGCGCCTAATACTCCTGACTCCGAGATGCCGCTCAGACACGGCAGCCCAGGGGTACGTGGCCTCTTGGCAATGGCTTTCCAAAGTCTGCAAGTCCTGCTTGACTTGTGAGCGCTGCTTCCTTCCCGAATGCCGCATCCCTACTCTCCCGCCAGACTCAGGGCCACAAGGCCTAGCGTGCTGGGGCCCAGCCGGGCCTTCCCCAAACCTTGCCTTGGCCAAGCACTGGGTGGGCTTGAACTCCGTCACCCCCCGCACCCCCCCGCCAGAGGTGCCCTATGCCGGCTGTTGGGCTAAGTATGGCAACGCAGGAGGAGAGCACGGTGAGACTGCTCCAACATCCAGGGCCCAGAGGAGGTGTGGCGAGTCAGAGAGCGGCAGTATGGGGACCGCTTGCAGGGTCACGGGGACACTGCCCCTGGGCTGGGACAGGACGTGCTGGCAACACTTCATGGAGATTTTGGCTGGCTTGAACCACAAGCCAAGGTGACCTGGCAGTGGGACCAAAGCCCCACAAGGCCCCGTGCGCGGTGGGTGTGGGGCCGCGTGACGGGGCCTTTGCAAGCCAGGCTGAGGACTCGACTGGGAAACCGGAGTCCCTGGGCTTCCGGGAGGCAGAGAGCCCACTTTGGAGGCCACTCAACAGACCAGGAGGGCGAGACCCAAGGGTACACTGGGGCCTCTCATCTGTCTCAGCTGACCATCCCGGAGAGCAGCACAGTGGGCAGGACGGCCAAGGGCGTCGTTGCCTGCCGGCCCTGGATACACCACCTGTATCTGCCCATCCTCTTGGTGGCCTTCCCCAAGCGGTCACCCGAATACGTCATGAAGGGCGGTGGCCTCCCCGTCCTGGGGGCCTGCTGTCCAGGATGGGGAGGCCATGAGGGAACCTGCCATCTCGAGGCCTGTGGCCTTTTGCCATCACTGGGCAATTCAGCTTCGCGATCCCCAAGCACTGAGGAGACAGAATCTCAGGTCACGTCAGGAGGTCAGAATCCTAGAGCGGTATCAGCGGTCACGCCAAATGCACGCTCCGAGTTATGTATACAGTTTGGACGTGAACTTCTTCAGAGGCCAGCACATTACTGAGGTTTAGAAACACACCGGGCCCACCTCCGCGGGTGGTGAAACTGCTCTGGTGAAGCGGAGGGAAGGAATCCTGGGGCCACCCCTGGTCACGGTCACGGGTACGGGTATGTTCACCTGCGCAGGGGTGGGTCCTCTGCCGGGGAGGGATACCAGCAACACGGTGGGCTGGGAAGCTCTCGCCCAGGGCCCCACCCCCCCCATGTGGCACCAGGACTCTAGAGAGTAGGTAGGAGCCGGGCACCCAGCAGAGGGCGCTGGGCACATGCGCGGCCTGCGGCTCGCCTTGCCCCCGCCTCCTCCCGAGGCATAGCAGAGCCCAGAGTAAGCCCCCCAATTCCCGCTCCTTCCTGGAGGCAGAAAGGAAAAGCAACCGGCATCCAGCTTGCCAGGGGTGGTGGCGGCGCAGGGCCCGCCCCCTGGCGTGTTTTAAGGGTGCAGGGCTTCTGCTGGGCGCATGAAAGGTTCTAGAGATCCTGTGCTCGACCATGTGAGTATAATTAACACTAATAAACTGCACGCTGGTTAAGACAGTAAATGTTATATTTTTAACCACAACTTAAAAAGTCATATATGAAAATCACCATTGCATACCTATTAGAACAGTCAAAATCCAGAACACTGACACCGCCAGAGCCTGGCAAGGCTGTGGAGCGTGCACCTTTCACACACTGCCTGGTGGGGACGCAACAAGGGACAGCCGATGCGTAAGCCAGTTCTGTGGCCCCTTACACAACAAGAGCTTCTTACCACGAGATCCAGCAAGCTCCTTGGTATTGACCCCCCAGAGCTGTGAACCGATGTCTACACAGAAACCTGCACATGGGTATTTATAGCAGCTTTATTCATCATTGCCCAAACTCGGAAGCAACCAAGATGTCTTTTGGTAGGTGGGTAAGCAGTAGCATATCTGGACAATGGAACAATCTTCAGTACTACAAAGAAATGAGCTACCAAGCCCCGAACAGACGTGGAGGAACCTTAAATGCATTATCACTGAGCGAAGGAAGCCAGCGTGACAGGGCTGCATACGGTAGGATTCCAACCACAGCACATTCTGGAAAAGGCAAAACTACAGAGACAGTAAAAAGCGCAGGGGCTGGGAGGAGGGGGGGAGGACAGGCAGAACACAGAGGACTTCTAGGGCAGTGAGACGACTCTGGGCAACACTGAACGGTGGATACACGTCACCAGACTGTTTGAACCCACAGAATGTGCAACACCAAGAAGGAACCCTAATGTTAACTGTGGGCTTCGGGGGACGAGGATATGTTGGCGCAGGAGGACAAGTGGCTGCCACAAATGTAGCGGTCTGCTGGGGAAGGCCGTGTCTGGGGTGCAGGGGGTACATGGGAACATTCTGTAACTTCTGCTCCATACTGCTATGAACTTGAACTTGCTCTAAAAAAGTCTATGGAAAAAAAAAATCCATAGAACTTAAAAGCTGCAGAAGCTGAAATGCACACGAGTCGAGGCTTCCTGCAGAAGGGGGAAAGCTGGAGCCAGGAGGGGCGCGTGGAGCACGGCCACACCCATCAACGGGCAGGTCACCAGCCAGTTTGGGGAAAGACCTAGAATCATCACAAGTGCCTTGCTCAAGGATCATCAGCAAGTCAAAAGGCGACAGGAGAAGAAAAGCAAAATGACAAAGAATCATTTGCTGTCGGGAAAATATTTCCTCAAGATACGTATTTTTCAAATTTTGTGGTTTAGCCCCTGACACCTGAAATCTATCAACTTCATTTGAACTGTGTTAATGCCCGGTCAAGACTGGACGGAAAGCCACCCAGCTACTTCTACGCAGGTGCTAGGGCCCGCGCAGCACACCCGCCCACGCCTCCATCCTGGTGAGCGAGATGAGAAATGGGCCTCACTGCTTGATGGAGCCATTAAAACAGAATTAATCTGCCATTTCTGCAGCCCCAAATTGATGAGCACACAAGAACTCATTTATAATTGCTTATTTCTACTTCACAACATTCCTTCCAGTATTTCTGTTCTCGAAAAAAGTCCATTAACATCGCATTATTTTTTTATAACCTTTAAAATTAATGTTGATTGGAAATATGTCGTCATACCAACTTGAGTAAATCTGACTGTCCCCACACACTGGTTGAGTTCCACCCGCCCTGGGTGGAGCTGCAGGGAGGAGCCCCAGGGTTTTGACTGGTTCCAGGCCCTGCTGCGGCGGGGGGTGGGGGGTGGGGGTGGGCAGGGCACAGCTGCCAGGAACGCGCCCGGTGGCGGGCCACCCCCGACCCTGCCTGCCACGTGCACTTAGTGGGGCGCTTGAGGTTCTCACTGGCCACAGTGATCCAGGACACAGCTGTGACCTCGGGACATCTGCCAATTTCACCCCTCAAAAAGATAAAAATTTTAAAAATAATAAATAAATAGTGTTTCTGGAAATGAAAAAAATTTATTTTTGTGTTTAAACATCATTCCCCCACTCTTGAAAACACAGACCGTCCCCCATATCCCCCCTCCCCCCCGCCCCAAACCTTCCCACTTTTGAGACAACTTAATGACAAAGGATGGTTCTGGTGTGGTTTGTCTGCTCTTCCAGCCCTGGGTCTGCAGCTCTCTGAACCGGTGTGAGACGGGCTAAAGATCAAAGCCACGCCCTGCCTCTTATGAGACCAGCTTGTTCAATTTCACACTTAAATTTCACTGTTATTGGAACAAATTTGGAGTTCTTTAACTAGAGAATTTTTAAAATAGAATCAAAAGGGATAGCGCACCTTTCATTTAAACAAAGTCTTTCCAGACTAAAAATAGATTTATATATATATATTTTTATCCCACCCTTTGCACCCCCCCTTCCCATCATCCCACCCCTCCCCCCTCCCCCCACATTGTCACTATGGAGATTGTGTCCATGGAAACAGCCATTCCAACTTCTTGGGTCTTTCTTTCCTGTGGTGTCACGGTTTGGGTGTGATGTAAGGACTTGGGGAGGAGGTGCTGGCGGGGCGGGCGGGGCAGGGCAGGGCCGCACAGCAGGACGGTTCCTTCCATCGCGAGTGTCCACCACCTCTCATCTCCACAGTCTCACCTGCAAGACAGAACCGACACTGGGTGCTGGGAATCCTGTGCGGCCCCGTGGCTGACAGCCCCTCCTCTGGGGGTCCAGCAGCTGCAGACGCCCGGGACCAGTGGCGGAGCCACCGTGTAGCCCAGACCACGTGGCCCTGGAGCACGGTGAAGGGTGGCAGTGACGTGGCCCACGGTGCTGCGAATGGACCCCGGGCCCCTCACGGCATGGCAGTCTCCCCAGTGCGCGCAGGAACGGAGACCACGAAGGAGCTCCCTGACCCTCCAGCTCCCGGGGTGACCCACCGGGGGCCTCCCGTGGGGCTCGGCACTTTGGTGGCCTGGAGCGGTCCTCACAGAGGCGGCTGAGCACGCAGGCGGTCTGTGGGAAAACCAGCTCAGGACCCGCCACAGCTGCTCGCGGTGACAAGAGTGCATCCTTCACACTGCGCAAAGAACACTCTCCAGCCAGCTCCGACTGGATGGCAGGGCCCTCCTCCAGGGCTCCCCAGGCGTCCCCTGCACTCGCTCCTCTTCCAGCCCAGGCTCCGCGCTCAGAAAGGCGATCCCGATGACCCAGTGGGGCAGTGGGGTTGGACCACAGGCCTCCTCGGAGTCCGTCATGGCTCACTATGCATGCAGGGGTCTCCGAGGGACACAGAGGTTGGCCAGGATCGGGGCAGAACAATCAGAGCAGAAGCAGGGGCGGCGGCCTCCCCAGACCTGCTCCCTGCCAGTCAGATCACTCCCTCCTTCCTCAGACCCCTTCTGGTGCCCTCGGGAATAATCCTTGGGGAAAACTCAGGCGGCACCATCCCTTTCCTGAGTTCACACAACTTACTAATGGGCAAAATCGCTCAGAAGGCTGGTCTGTGTGCAGGGGCTACGAACCTTCTATTTGAAAGCACCCACATAGGTATACCTGCCCGGACCAAAGAAGCGCATTAACTGCTCAGGGGAAAACACAACCACACAGGGAGACCTGCAGAGATAGCAGGACACTGTCCCCATGCTCAGGATGTCCATGGTGACAGCCTGGCTTCCCTGTTCCGAAGGTGGCTCTGGACCCTGGAAGTCGCCCCAGCCCTGCTGGCCCACGCTCTGGTCTGCCTCCAGCCCAGGGAGGCTTGCCCGTCCTGCCCTCTGGTTGTCCTAGGGTTAAAGCTGCTTGCCAGGAGAGGGGACAGAAGCAGCCTCCCCATGTTACCCCAGCAACCAAAAGCCCTCGAGATGCGAGAATGAGGGCGGAGCCAACAGGAAGCCTCAAGCAACAACCCGGGGGGCCACATCTTGCTGGGGATGTGGGACCACGTGTGAACAGAGGACAGAGGACAGATGTCCAGGCACACCTTGGAAGGCTCTGCTTGTGGAGTGGGCAACAGGGCAGGGTTTGCCCTCCCCCAGGCTTGCCAGTATTGGGCCTGTAGCCCTGGCCCGCTAGGCACTCAGGAGAGCAGGCCCAACCTGGCCCCAACCTGGGAACGGAGCACATTTGGCACCCCGGGCCTGCCCGGCTGGGGGCGCTCTGTGGGCTGCCAACCTCGGGCCATGGGTGCGTCCGGTAGCCTGGGCAGCTCCGGTCTTGACAGCCGCCCCCGCTGTGGCTCTGTCTTCCAGCCTTCCTAAGGGGACCTTTCCCCAGGGTCTGACGTCACACACCTTCAAGGTCAGCGGACCCTAACTTCTCAGAGTTACTTCTCAAACACTGTTCCTTCAGCAGGGAGCTCAGGAAGGAAATCCGTGTGCCAGGCTCTATGCTAGGAGTTTCAAAGAAGTTCTCTCATGATGACACCCGAGGCCTGACACCGCCCTCCCCTGCCCCCGGTCTCAGAGAGGACAAAGCTGAAGCGGAGGGACCCAAAGCCCCGGGGTGGCTGAGCGGTGGGACTGGGGCTCCCGCCCAGCAAGCCCTCTGCCCGGGCCCCCAGGACTCTGCCTTCAAGCCTCAGGCAGGTGTGGTCCTGTTCGACTGCGTGGGACTCGGCTGACGGGCGCGGGCCAGCTGCAGCCGGCGAGAGAGCCGCGAGCGGGCAGCCGCTCTGTGCCGGCGGCTTTTCCACACTCTCTTTAAAAGGCAACTCGATGTCCAGATGCCGGTGAGGAGAGTTTCACCTGGGGCCACAGCCTCCAGGACTCGCTCACCTTTGTCACGCTCCCACTTTCAGCGGCCCCTCCACGGCCCGAACCTGGCGGGGCGTCCTCCAGCCTTCCCCCAGCGCAGCAAGAACCCACCACGTCCTCCCCGCCCGGCCGGTTCCCGCCTGCAGGGATGGGGCTGTGCGGTGGCGCCGCCGTCCGTACCTATCCAGGCACAGACAGGGTGACGAGCACATGCTGCTCTGCGGGGCACGCCCTCTCCCGCGCACTCGGCCTGCCCCGCCACGTGTGCGCTCCAGGTTAGAGCAGAGAAGCCGGAGCCAGACACGGTTCCTGTCTTCACTGCGTGCACAGGCTAGTGGAGACGCACATAAGCAAACGGATGAACGATTCCAAACTGGCACAGGAGAGCTGCGGTGTGCAAAGGAGCCCGACAGGTCCCCAGAAGGGAAGGCCTCTGCAGCTGAGACCCAGAGAGGAGAGGGAGCCTGTCACAGAAGATGGGAGGCAGGGGACCCAGGCCCAGGGAATGGCATGTGCCAGAGCCCACAGGGAGAAGTCCCACCTCTGAGCAGCTCGCCAGACACGCCCACAGGCCCTGGCGGAGGCATCAGCAGTCAGCACAGGGAGAAGGTGGGCGCCCACAGGCCTCCCGCTGCTTCCTCACGCCCAGAAACGGGCAAGCGGCAGCCTGCTGTGTGGATGGCGGCCCAAAGACTTTTCCTCTCTGGCACTGCTGGTCTGCTGAGGGCCAAGTGCAGGGACCTCATATGCTGCTGGAGGCTGAGGGGGATTCAATCTCCCATCTCCCAGCCCCCAGTTTTCCACCAGACAGGGCGGCAGCAGGGTCCAGCCCGCAGCCTTGACCCCTCTGGCTCCTGTAGCGCCCCAGGACCTGCACAAGCTGCACCCCACACTAGGCCACACGGACACCTTGGAGACATTTCTTAACTGAATCCTCACTAGGCTGGCCACCGCTGTTCCTCTCTTTACCGAAGAAACAGAAGTAGAAACAGGAAGTGCCCCCGGTTACACAGCTCTTACTGTATGAGAAAACAGGGCCCCAAGAAGCAGGACCCAGGTACTCATGTCCCCTCCCTGCCATTTCAGGGCACCCAATGACAGTAGCTCTCTGTCCCTAGAACAGACCCCAAAATGGAATGTTCTCCGTCCCAATCCCCGGGGCTCCCGTACAGTCTGCCGAGGGCCACCACTCACAATGGGACAGCTGAACTGAGAAACAGGACAAGGGTCCCGCCCTGGGGATGGCACACGGAGAAAATCCTTTCAGGTGGACACGACTGGATGCAGCCTATGTCCACCCTTTCCCTCCAAGAGGTGGACGGTCGGACCTCAACAGACGAGAAACCACCCCACACCGATGGGTCGGCCGCCTGACCGCTCGGCGAGGCAGGGTCTCCTGTCCGCGCGGGGACTCCTGCCCACACTGACTGAGATCTGAACGACGAAGCTCACTGCTCCGCTTGGGGGCTGAGGGCTGGCAGCTGGCAGCGCCCAAGGCTGGGTGGAGAGGAAGGAGAGGATGAATGAAATTAAAATTCCCAGCCAGAGATCTGCCCACCAGGCCCATGGCTCAGTCTCCCCCCGCCAAACACGGGCTGGAATGCCAGGACGAAAACAACGGCACGTGACAACAAATGGTTCCTTCCCTTACTGGGTCGCCAGGACACTGTCAGGAATGTTCCTTGTGGCCCCCACAGCACACGGCTCTACCCATCAGCCAGAGGAATTGACGGGAAGAAGGCAGAGCCCCGGCACGGAACAAAGGCCAAGAGAAACAAGCTGGAGAACCGTCCAGACTGCTGTCGTGCGCTGAGGGCTGCTCAGGGGAAAGGCATGCAGGAGCCGGTGGGCCCCGGTGTGTTCCAGAAATCCAGTGGCCGCTGCTGCTGCAAGTTTGCTCATTTGACTCCTAGGACCCGACCACCTGCCCTTCCACTCCCAACCCCTGTTTTGGAAGAGGAAGAGAGAAAAGGCACGACCTCAGAGGCCTTACTCGACAGCCCCCCTTGAGAAAGCCGGACAGGCCTCTCTCCAGCCCCGCGGCCTCACACAGCAGAGCACAGGGGGCTTCTCTGGAATTCGGCACTGGGACCCTCCGAAGAAACCGAGGACTTCTCAAAGGAGAAAAAGTGCCACCGTCTGAGAGGAATTAGTTTCTCCTCAAGTGACTGGTAGGTATTGTGGAGCAAGGTGGAACCTGCCGGTTGTCACGGGGAGGGAACGTGCCGTGGACTCTAGCACATCTGTGTGTGGCTCTCGGGCGCCTGGAGTAAACACAGAAGCCCTTCATTTGAAGAGAAATAATCCCTTAATGAACGTTTCTGAGACAACTGGTCCCCCCTCCCCATCCCCGAGGACCAAGTGCTTCAAGTTACATCTTGGCTTTTCTTTTCCTTCTCTCTCTCTCTCTCTCTTTTTTTCTTCTCTTTATGGTCTATTTTCTTCACCCTCATGACTCTGTTGGGGGGGGCAGGTGGCGAGCAAGCAGGGAGCAGGGGAGGCGCGCTGCCTCTGGGGACGTCAGTCCACTAATCCTGCTTCCACAGACGCGCGCTGCCGCCGCCCTGACCACAAGCCCAGACACACTCACAAAAAGCACAGCTCAATCTCTTGAGAGTTTTTAAGAGTAAAATTAAATCAGATGGTAAAGTCCCCTAAATCTTTGAGGGGATTTCCCTTCCTTTTGTGCTTCTGTGCAAAGGAGTCCTTCACAGTACTTGGGGGAAAAGATTTCAAAGAACAAAACTGAGGAATATTTTGTTTTTCAAAGGAAGAGCCACCACAAGCTTTACAGATAGGGAGTAAATTGGAAAGGACAGCCCACTGGCTAGAAGCATTTCTGAGCCGGGGACAGAGGGTGGGCTGCTGGTGGGCTCTGTCCCAGAAGCCTTCGAGAGCGCCACACACAAGCCTGACCTCCGCTCAGTCACTGTGAACTCTGACGGGCAATGGGACAGTTTTAAAGCCTCAAACATGTCTCCACGGACATTCCAGGGAGCTAAATGACAGTCGGAGAAACACTTAATCCACCTGGTTTCGGCAATTCACGCGCTTAAAGGGGGTGGCGCAGCCTGGCCTGGGGCAAGCAGGAGGGCAGAGGCCATGACACCCACTGGGACTCTGGCAGGGGTGCGGCCCCGACTCACCTGTGCTTGCTGTACTTTCCACTCCCACGAGCACACTGCCCCCCTCACCCCCGCTCCGACTGCTCTGTGCTGAGGCTGCCTTTCGCTGTCTTGTTCTGCAAGGCGGGGAGGGGGAACGGGAGGGGAGGCTGCCGCCGGCAAAGCCAAGGAGACAAGACAGGAGGGAAAGAAGAACAGTGCAGGGGTCAGGGAGGCAGAGGCGAGGAGAGGAATGGCACACAGAAAAGGAAAGAAAAAGCAGAGAGTCAGTATTGAATGACAAACAGGAGATATTCAGACAGGGTTTTCCAAGGCAAAATGTGACCATTAAAAAAGAGAAGTTTTAAAACTAAAAACATGTAAATTGAAAGAGAATACTGTAAGATCCTGTGGTCCAGCTCTGAAAATAATTTTTAAAGAAAAGCATAAGCGAGCATCTTTCCGACGTGTTTTGGGGGCAGACCCGTCAGGGGGACTGCTTTTCAGGTTCATGTTTGGTCCCAGTCGGAGCCCGGAGCCTGCGAGCGACCCGTGACCACCAGGTGTCAGTGTGACCTCAGCCAGACGAGCGCAACCGCCACAGTAAACGCCAGGTGGCGCCAGACCGGCTGGGCGGCCCCAACCCCTGGCGGGGCCTCCTCCTCAGGCCCTCCCTGCCCCACGTGCTAGGTCGGCGACAGCCCAGGCTCCACTTATCTTCCATCCTTTCATAGAAAGGGTCACACCAACAGACCACCTCTTGAATTACTGGGGAAATCAGGCAGTAGCCCCCACCAGCTGCACCACCGGTCACTTCTGCTGAGGTCAAGCCTAGAAAAGACCGAGTTTCCCCTCCAAGAACTGTGGGGTCAATTCTTATTTCTTTTAGTCGGGGAAAATGCCTCTGATTATGTATCAAGGCCTACAGGCTTACCTCGTGCCAACCTGGGAACTGGGGGTCCACTAAACTAAAATGGAAATCAGCATGTTTTGAGTTTGCTCTTTGAATTTCTCTTAACAATCCACAAATACCTTCCGCTCCCCCACTGTTCTCCCAGCCTCCCACCACAGCACGTGGGGGCCACCGTAGGGTGCAGGGCTCCCTCCAGCACCGGGCCTCTCCACTCTCTCAGGGCCAAGAGCAGGTGGCAGCCTCCCGTGTATGGTCTACAGACCGTGAGGGACACCCCCGCCCCAGGCCTGTGGGGGCCACATGCACTGACTCACCTTGTGCTTGGGGCACCTCACCGAGAAGTTCTCCTCATGGAGCAAACAATCTACAAGACAGAAAGACACAGTCAGACCGAGCCGGCGGGTGGTACGGCCCGGGGTGAGAGGGGCCACACTAGCCAGGACTGACAGTGTCAGACAGGGAGGTAAGAGGCCCCCCACACTGTGATTTCTGAAACATCAGAGACGCCCCCAAAGGAACTGTGGCACTGCAACATGATGGGAGTGTCAGTCCCTTAACATTTTAATGCTTCACAACAGTTAATGGTACGGGGAAACACTCAGGACACAGAATGGCTTGAAAACCAGTTTATGTAAATTTAGAAGTACTGTCCTAATTTTACCAAATTTGTGTTATGTGCACGAAAAACAAAACAAAGGAAACTTACCCAGTGGTTCTCTTTGGCTAGCAAGACTATAAGTGACTTTATTATTATTATTTTTTAATGTATTTCCACAATTATACTAACAGTCAGAAACCATCTCCAATAAATGTTATTTTTAAAATCCCTGATTCTCGGCTAAGCCCATTCCAGCAGGCCCGAGTCAAAGCTTTCTCATGGCAACACCGCACACCTGGGGGCACCTCTCTTCTCCATCCAGAGCCCAGCTGCCACCTTTGCCGGACGACCCATGGAGACACGGGAGAAGTTCCCGACACGAGCCACATAATCCACACTAAATGCTTCAGGGGAAAATGAAATCCCACGAGGGGGTTACTAATCCTTGAAGGAAAATGATTCATTTCAACTTTTAACGTGGTGACAGCAAGGACACGCGTCCGCCTCCAGGTGTGCTGAGCTCTGTGGCACAAGGGTGGTGTGTGGAGCAGGGCGAGGAAATCTAATTAATGAATTCACTCTGCACACCGCAGCTCCCGGAGACCGACAGCCAGGTCACTGGTGCAAGATGGGGTGGCAGAATGTTAATAAATATTGATCACACATTCTCAGAGAGCTCCCGGGCACCGTGGCGGGAAGCAGCCATGGCACTTAGCCTTGTTAAATGTACGATTTAACTCCGGTTTAAACTGAGGTCCGGATTAGCAGCCTGTGTATCCGCAGATTTCACAGGATAGAGGAATAAGCAAGGGAACACACAAACGGAAACTTCTGAGGTCCTTTGTATCTTAAACAAATGGAAAAAGACCCTTTCATAACTGGGCTGGGCCTGTCCCGTCACAGCCTCCCTCTGGAGCCCCTGAATACCCAGCAGTGGGAAGGCAGCCTCCCCTGCCCCCGGGGCTGGCTTCCAGGCACAGGAGCCCAGCAAGGCCGGCTAACCCCCGAGCCCTCCCCCCCACAAGCAAACAGCATGGCAGTAAATGAAATGTGTTAATTTAAAACCCACAAGTACACGGCGTGACCAAGGCCCCTGCTGCTCCAATCTGCCGGAGAGCTTATGAACAGCAGGGGACAGGCGACCGGAGCGCAGGAAGCGCCCGCTCCTTACCTGGGCTTTGGCGGCACGGCTTGCTGGCAGTCTCTAGTCTGGGCCAGAGAAACCGCAGCGCCCCCATGGGGCGCGGCCACCTTTATGCCACAAGGGTTCAGAGAAATGAGAAGGGGGGACCGTATTAGCTGGAAAAGGTGCTATGGGAAAGGCAGCGGCGGCTCAGTTCCCCTCCCAGCCACGGAGGAGCGGCCCGCTGTGACAGACCATTAGTGAAACATGTCTGAAGTTAGGAGACATGCTCCAAGTTAAAAAGCAGAAAAGAAATAAGACAACGTAAGTGTGCACTGAAGGCAACTGGAACTAACGTCAGGCACTTCTGGAAAGGGGAGTCTCCTAAACAAATCTGCCAGAGACCACATCCACCTTGGACAAGGCCTCCAGCCGAAGTCTGCAGACCAGGGCTCCCATCCGTCCTCATCACGTCCGCAGGCCATCAGGAACTGCAATGCACGCTCCGGGCAGGGCGAGAATCGTGGCCAGAGAGCTTAGCCACCCGCAAGGGCCCAGGGAGCCCCTTCTTGGCTGCCCTGACCCAGGCCTTGCTTCGAGGAGCAGAAGAGCGGTGAGAGGCTCGGTGGGGCTCCACTCGAGGTTGCTGAACAGGCGCCTGCCCTACACGGCCGGCCAGCCTGGTGCTTGGTTTTCCTCAAGCCTCTGGCCATACCCCACACTGGCCGGAGGGCTGGTCAGCACTTCCACACAGTGCAGTCAAGGAAACGGCGTGCTGGAGCATCACACATGCTGGAAAAGACTCACAGGGTTGTCTTGTCAACAAGATGGCTCCCAGACACAAACACAGCACCCAGCGGAGGATGCCGCTTTCCTCTCTGCACTTGGCTTAAATGCACAGTGGACCTCACCGCTCTCCTCACAACAAGCGACTCGGAGCTACCTGCACCCACGTGCGGCCACATCCTCCCTGGGCCGGCGGCACTAAGCTCAAGGCGGGGGAGATGGGAGAGGGGAGGGCTGCTGGCGCTCGGACCTGCCAGCCCCCAGACGCCATCTCCAGCTCGTCTCCAAACTCTCCCAGAGCTATGGTTGGTGCTTAGATTGGCCTGATGACCCTGGGATTTAGGGACCTGCCAGCTGCACCCACCTTGTCGAGGGGCTCCTGGGCCCGGCGAGGGGACTATCAGAGCCGGGCAAGCAGAGCGGGGGCCTCTCCGGGGAAGGGGCGGACACCAGTCCTTTTATAACCCCAGGGGGCCTGAACCCACCACGACCAGATCAGAGTCTGCGGTGAGCAGCAGGGGTGGTTGCAGAGAGCATGTCCCCGCTGGGCCTCCTCCTGAGGGTTAAGAGAAACTCCCTCCAGGCTACATTCCTCGTGCACAGTACTTAGTGGCTACAGCTCTTTTTTCCTTTGGTCTTAATTGCTGTGGCTCGTTGCATCAATACATCACTTTTTAAAAACCAGGGCTCACGTTCCTGTCACTGCATTTCCCCAAGCCACAGTCTGCCCCTGCGACCTGAGCAGCACGGGGCGGCTGACCGTGACGTCATGAATGCAGGAACAGGCCGGGGGGTCGGGGGGGCTGCAGCAGCCACAGACCCTCAGCGGAAAACAATCCTGTTTCCATGGAGCTGCCCCAGCAGTTAGAGTTCCCCCTGAGACTTGAACAGCTCCTTGAGGTTTGGGCGGTTAGCAGCAAAGCAAAGATGGACATTTAATCTGTTCCTTACTCCACGCGGAGAGGAGGAGCTCTCAAACTCAGGGACTCATTTATTTATTTAGGATGTCAATCAATGAATGCCCTTCCTGCACAGAAGATCTATGGTATCGAGAAGAGAACTCCCGAGAAGACCCCAAACATAAGCATCCATCCCACAGAGCAGTTCAGGCTTCTGGGTCACTGGGACTCCGGGCATCAAAAAGATTGATAAATGCCCAAGACACGGTCACCTTAGAGTGCTACTTCCTTGGTCCTGTATTTCTAGATGGAGCAGCAGAGCAGGCGGCCGCTGGGGCAGCAAAGCCGGGGGGCCAAGGGCCTGCCTGAGCCCCCACCCCTCCGACCCAGGCAGCCTTCCTCTCACTAGATACTTGGCCACCAACTCCTGCCAAATACACAGGTGACCCACCACTTGGGCAGGCCACACAAGACAGGCGCGGACAGAGAGTGACCAACATGGCTTACTTACTAACCCTCACTGGTAAGCGGCTGACTGAGCAAGCTCTCTCTGGAGGGGAGGCAGAGCCCCGTGCATTCCCCCGAGAACCCCATCCCCACGGCCTGAGCTTGACCAAGGTGGGGCTAAGCCCGTGCTTTCCAGCTCCTAGCCACACTCGGACAGATAATTAAGTTTAAATGCAATGAAGTCAAACAAAAATTCAGTCCCTCGTTCCCAAAGAGCCACACTTGAAGCACTCAGTGGTGCACAAGGCTTGTGGCGACTGTGCTGGAGCGCGCAGACCCTGAACACTCCTGTCACGGCAGAGGCTCCTCCTGAGCAGCTCTGCTGAATCCCTCAAGAAACTGCCAGGAGCCTGGTCCCTAAATTGGCTGATGCCCCATTATGCAGACAGGGGTGCACTCACACAGGGGGTAGGGGGCAGCGGACGAGACGAGGTTACCTGCCTGCCGCTCAGCGGATGTTTCTGAGCAAAGCCTCAGTGCAGACCACCTCTTATCAGGCCACTGATAGAGAGAGCCAAGCCTTGCATAAAATTATAAATAACTGCTACAAACTTAATATTTAAACATCATCATTTAAAAATCATGAAGCTTAGGGGCGCCTGGGTGGCTCAGTGGGTTAAAGCCTCTGCCTTTGGCTCAGGTCATGATCCCACGGTCCTGGGATCAGCAGGGAGCCTGCTTCCCCCACCCCCCGCCTGCTTCCCTGCTTACTTGTGATCTCTGTCTATCAAGTAAATAAATAAAATCTTAACAAAAAAATCATGAAGCTTAAACTAGAAAAAAGAATTCAGGAGCAATGCCATGAAAAAGAGAAATGGCAACGGCTGGCTGTTGAGAGTGAGGAAGAGAGCGTGAGAGAGAGGACAGAGCGACTGTATGATGGAATGTGCCAGACCACGACTCAGGGTGAATTACAGCTCAGACGCAGCACAGAAACATGTGGGGGAAGAAAGAGAACGGAAAGGGACAGACTAAAACCCAAACTCCCTGAACTGACATTTCAAGGCTCTCTTCTTACTCCCTCTGGCCATACAGTGCCCTGGCCACCGGCCACCCTTCAGCAAGTGCAAACACACACTTTTGTGAGAATCGAACTGTGGCGTAATAAGCGTTATCTTTCTGTATTTTTCTAGTTCTTCAGCTGTGCCTCCTATGGAAACTTGGAAAGACAAAAAGAAAGGGAGGGAAAGGAGAAACAAGAAGGACCAGAGGCATGTAGCTCAAATAACTTCCCGGGAATGAAGGGTGGTCCAGATGAACTCGGACTCCCCTCCCCACACCTGTCAGATCCCACTCTGAGCTTACGCCGCTGTACCTGCTTCCCACACCTGGACGGCCAAGCCCTCGCCTCCTCCCTCTCAAGCACTTAGAGATAACTGGCACCTGCCACTGGCTGGACCCTCGCTGATGTTCCCTATCCTTCTCCCCCTCCTTCCTGAATGAAAGTACTAGGAGGGCTGGTGAGGGGAGACATGTGCTCAGAAAGTAACTGGTGAAAACGTCCACTGAAAGGGTAAGGACTCTAGATGGAGAGAGAGGACTTTCTCAGGCTAAAGCTCAAAGTCAAAATTTAAGGGTTCCGCATCATTCATTCACTGGATGGAACTTCATGGACAAGAGTTTCCCCTTCTTTCAACAGTCATGATACTGCGAAACACTACTCTGATCATCTCAACAGACATGGAAAAGATGGTAAGATGCAAAAGCCGTGGTTGAGAGAGAAAAACACTCAACAAACCAGGAAGACAGGGAACTTCCTCAGCTGCGTCAAGAACATCTGTGAAAACCCCCCCAGCTATTGTCACACTTACTAGGTCAGAAACAAGGCAAGGATGTCAGCTCTCGCCGCTGCTACCCAGCATTACGTTAGAAGTTCTAGCCAAGACAATTAGGCAAGAAAAATAAATAAAAGGCATCTAACTGGAAAAGAAGAAGTGAAACTACCCATTTGCAGATGACATATCTTGTACATAGAAATCCATTAAAAAACTATTAGAACTAATCAATGAGTTGAGCAAAGCTGCAGGATACAAGATCAATACACGAAATCAACTGCTTTTCTATATGTTCACAATGAACCATCTGAAAACTAAATTAGGAAAACAACCGCATTTACAATCACACTAAAAATAATAAAATACTTCAGAGTAAATTTAATGAACAGGCACAAAACTTACACTCTGAAAACTACAAAACACTGTTGATCGAAATTCCAGAATGAGACAAAGGCAGAGACGCTGCCTGGCCATGGGCTGGAAGACTGCTGTTATGATGCTAAGACTGCCCAGCCGCACCCGCAGATTCAGTGCAACCGCTGGAGTTTAATGGCTGTTTTTTTTTTTTTAAATAGAAATAGACCAGTTGATCTTAAAATTCATATGAAGTAGCCAAGGACCCAGAACAGCCAAAACAATCTCGACAAAAGGAATATTCAGAATACTCATACTTTCCAATTTCAGAATCTACTACAGAGTTCCAGCAATCAAGACAGTGTGGGGCTGGACAAAGTTCAGAAATAAGCCCACACATCTATGGTCCACTGGTTTTCGACAAAGGTGCCGAGATCATTCAATGAGGAAAAAGTAATCTTTTCGACAAATGGCGCTAAGACACTGGAATCCACGTGCAAAAGAGTGAAGTGGGTGCCTGGGAGGCTCAGCGGGTTAAGTGTCTGCCTTCAGCTCAGGTCATGATCCCACCAGCACCCTGGGATTGCGTCCCACATCAGGCTCCCTGCTCAGCGGGAAGCTTGCTCCTCCCTTTCCCTCTGCCTGCTGCTTCCCCTTGCTTCCGCTCTCTTTGTCTCTGTCAAATAAAGTCTTAAAAAAAAAAGAAAGAGTGAACTGGAGTCCTATTTCATACCAAAAATTAACTCAAAGTGGATCAAAGACCCACGTAAGAAACAAATTCTGAGAGGAAAAACACAGGCATAAATCTTTGTGATTTTCTGGATTAGGCAACAGCTTCTTAGATGTAAGAGAAAGGAACAGGTCATGAAAAGCAAAAACAATAAAAGAAAAAAATGGATTAACTCAACTTCACGCAGATGCCAGCCGTCATGAGCCACCAGGGAAATGCTCCAATCACAATGAGATGCTGGGATGGCGGGGACACAAGAGGCAGGTAACGGCAAGCGTGGTGAGGATGTGGAGAGACCGAAGCCCTCCTACACCGCTGGAAGGACGGGAAAGGACTTAGCCACGTGGCGAAAGTCTGACCGTCCTGCCACAGAGTTACCATACGACCCAGTAATTCCACTCCCAGGTTTAAACCCAAAGGAAGTGAAAACATTACATCTACAGAAAGACTTGTGAGTGTGCACTGCAGCATTATTCATAATAATCAAAAAGTGGAAAACAATCTCAACATGCATGGACTGATGAGTGGTCCGTACCATATGGCGTGTCCGTGACACTAGTGGGCAATAAAAATGAAGCCTGATGTCTGCTGCAACGTGGACAAACCTGGTAAAGCGCGACGTGAAGCCACAGATGCCGGCGTCCTAAGGAACACCTACTGTGCGATCCCACTTACACGAAGTGCCCGGAACAGGCAAATCCATCAAGATATGAAGTAAGTCCGCGGTTGCCAGAGGCTAGGGTGGGTGGAGGGGGAGTGGCCACTAATGGGTAGGAATTTACGAGGTGACGAAAATGTCCTAAAATTGTGATGACGGGTGCACGACTCTGAGTGTACTAACTCAAACCCACTGGACTGTACACCTAAAGAGTGAATCACGTGTGAATTACACAAATAAAACTGTTATTAGGACCCTGTTTCACTTCTTTTTTTATTATCCTCTCTGCATTCCTGTAGAATCCACAAATAGAACGGGGTCAGAAGAGACACAAAAGAATGATAAGGAAAGAAGGCAGAGAGAGTCAAAGTGACCGTCCCAGCCTTCGGACGCTCTGGACAAGGGCCGTGGTCCCATCTTACCTGCGTCAATGGCACATGGGTAGTGGTATCGGAAGGAACAGCCTTTGTTGTAACAGCCCAAGGTGGCACCTGCCTCCTGGCAGTGGGAACATTTCTGAAAAGAAAGAAGTGCGGCATGTCAGCATCCCAGAATTCACCCCTCTCCTCCAGGCCCTCCCTAAGCCCCGTCTGTCACACCCCAGCTCGTCTCTGTGGTTACAGGTCGGCGGTGGGAGGCTGGGCCGGTCAGTTGCTAACCGCCACTCACTGACCTCACCGTGGAAAGGATCCAGCAGAGACGCGCTAGGCCAGGCCTCGTAAATGGCCACAAATAGATCAAAGAGAACAAGGCGATGGGGTTGGGTGGGGCACCCAGACTGGTCCCTGGTGCTCCTGTTGTCCGCCCGCCCACACACACGCTTGCCCGTCCTTTCCTCATTCCTCCCGCTTCTTAAAATGCCAGATCTTGCCTATTTATTTCTGCTGTGGAAGTCTGGGGTGGGAGGAGAGGGTAAGATAGTAGAGTTATATATAAACCTTTTAGAATTAAAAGTGGAATTTGGTTTCTAGTTCTTGTATTTGTAAGATTTTATTTTTATTCTACTTATCCCAAATGCCCAATACAAGTATATTTCGCTCTTCAGAAAAGATGGGCTCCTGTGTGCAAATGGTATTTTTATACACAAATCCTATTTTAAATGCACTAGGAAACCTGCCACAAATTTCTGGCTAAGTGAGACATTATTCCGTAATTGAGATGTTCCTCCTTATATGGGCAGGTTTTCTTAAAGTGGGGCACATCTCTATCATCCCTGTGATCGCTCAGTCCTGTCGGCATACGAAATGTGACCTAGCAACAATAATCATTATTTGTAAAATTCAGCCAAATCGGCCCCACTGAGGGAGGCTGCAAATCCTTCTGGTGGCAGAGGCACACCCAGATGAGGCCACATGAGTGATACAGACACTTGCTCCTGATTCTAGGAAAAATAACACGGAAGTGCTCCCTCAGCCGTGTGCTTGTGGAGAATGCCTCCCCACAGGGGCCGGCACCCTCCCGGGGGGCAATAAGCCCAAAGGGTGCCCTTCTCCCCCTTTTCTCATGCGAAGGCAGAGCCCAGCTGGGGGCCCAGGAGTCAGTGTGGCTCCAGTGGGAGTAAAGCTCACCCGGACCAAGTTCCCCCAACGCAGATCGACGCTAAACCCACACCAGTGCCAGCCACGGCACCATCTCGGGGCCTCGCCATGCCATGGGTGTCGCCGTGTGCCAGAGGCATAAACCCAGTCATTCAGTCCTGGAAGCTTCCCCCTTCCACGATGAGGTGCCCGAGGCACCCGGAGCGGAATTTCTTGCTCCAGGTCAGAGCCGATCCAAAATGACCAGCCCCGGCATCCTCCAAAGACAAGGGGGCAGGAAGAGGGCCGTAAGCCATGCCCTCCACGAGCTCTGCCTTCCTCTCAGAAGACCAACGTCCTGGGTGCTGAGGATCCAGAAACATTTACTTTGCCCGGAAACAAAAGATTACTCCATGGCTGGAGTAAACCAAGGACCGCGGGCAGCATTCTGAACAGCCCTCGACTGTACCTGTCAGTTCCACAGAGGACATTCAGAAGCGAGGTCTCCCTGCTAACTGGAGGGGACGACTGTGGCTCATCCGTCAGTCGCCCCCCCGCAGCAGTTTCCGCTGGAGGCCCTTCTGACAGAAGAAGCCGGATCAGCTCCCCACACTTCTGCTCCAGGCCCTCCCTGCCCCGAGGGACGGGGGTGAACCCCAGTCAGGGGTGGCCATTTACAAATGGGTGTAGCAAGCGTTCCTGGTAGGGAAGCCGCAGGTTAAGGAACTTCTGGGAGTTTCACCTCTCTTAAACCGGGACAAGAGGCAGGAATAGGTCGCTCACTCCGCCGGTTAGTGGGATGAAGAGATCTGTTGAAATCCCGTTATCACCATGAAGGGACAGCTCTTAAGACAAAGCCCAAGCTGTTGAGGACAGCAGAGAGACAGGACAGAGGGAACCTGGACCCTCTGTGACGCTGCTGACGACTTTATTAACCAGGTCCAGAACCATCCCATCTCCAGACTGCTAAAGGAGAGGACACTTAAAAAAAAAAGTCACTTTTAAATTCTGTAACATACAGTCATCACTGATACTGGAAGGGACTAATATCCGAAGCATGGCCGCAGAAGGTCACATGTGCAGGCTGTGGAACCTGAGCAACCCGCTGGCAAATGTTCCCACTGCCGCCTCTATGTGCTCCTGGCCAATTCCTAACCTCCGCTTCCTTAAACCACAAACACGAACCTACCTAACAGTACTATCCACCCCACAGAGCTGGAAGGGTTAGCGTGTGAATCCAGGCTGAAGACAGCGTCTGGATCAAAAGCATCGGTAAATGTGAGTGACACAGACCACCGGTGAGAAGCAACCTGCAGAGCTGGCCTTGTCATCACCTGAGTTCCCGGACAGGAAGGAAAAACAACCAAGCTCCGGGCTGAACAAGGTCCATCTCCTTCCTACCTCAGCTCAGCACAGGTCTCTGTCCCCTGCAGGGCATCTGACTGCTCCCGGCCCTGAACCAGCCCATAGGCCACAGTGCCCATCTTTTGCAAAATGAAAGCAAACTCACCCCTCACCAAGAAATTACATCAATAAAATGACGCTTGCTTCTTTCAGGTAAAAAGCACAATTAATTCACTACATTGCATCCAGAGGAGAAAGACCCTGTATGGTATACTCGGGCCTTGGGGAAAGGACATTAAAGAATTCGGTTCAGTGGCTACAGTGTAAGCCTTGGATCAGCAACATCAGCATCAGCCTGGAACTTGTTAGAAATGGAAATTTTGGGATTCTGGGAAGATGGGGGAGTAGGCAGCACCAGGAATCTCTCTCTCCCTCCTGGACAACAACTGCATTGGCTGAATCTGTCTGATACAACTATTCTGGAACTCTGAAGTCTGTTGTAGGCGTGCAGCTTCCGGGGGAAGACTTGGGTGGTAAACGGCAGCTAATTTTGGTCAATGTCAATTCCTAGGAGCACAGTGGCAGCTATCCATCTCCTACTCCCGGCCAAGTGGCAGGCAGCTGTGCACACGATCTTGGAGCAGCTTGCACACAGCTTGTGGGAGCAGCAGGGGGAAGGCGGGCAGAGAGAACCCTGTCTTCCAGGTATCAGGAGGGATCCCTGCTCTGACTGCTGATGATCGCTTCTGATCACGGAGGTGCAAACATAGGAGGGCAGCTACTGCTGCAAGCCCCTCCCCCTCAAGCTGAAACGACTTCCGGGGGATTGAAAAGACTGGCACCCTCTCCCCATCATTTTTTGCTTTCTTCCCTTTCGAGAGCTAGACATTAAAGAGTAGGATGTATAAAAAAACAACTACATATATGGGTACAATTAGAAAGCGACCCATGTGTTCCTGGGGAAAGGCTCAGAAAAGACCCGAGACTGTAAGTTGACACCTCAGGCTGATCCTAGGCACAGATAGCATAAAAAGTAAAAACAAAAACAAATCCAAAAAACACAACACCACCAAACCCAAAACAAGTAACAACCTCCGAAAAAGCAATGCTTGGGGAAGGGAGAGCATCTGACTTTCAGAGTTATCACATTATTTTATTTATTTATTCATTCACGAGAGCGAGTACACAGGAACAGAGGGAGGGAGAGAATCTCAGACTTCACACTGAGCCTGACATGGGACTTGATCTCAGGACTCTGAGATCATGACTTGAGCCAGAACCAAGAGTCAGACACTTAACTGACTGAGCCACCCAAGGGGCCCCCAGAGTTATCACATTATTAAATTCAAATTTCCAGTGTTTAAGAAATACTCGTAAGGCATACGCAGAGACAGGAAAGTATGGCCTATTCAAAGGAAATAAATAAATTAACAGAAACCTTCCCTGAAAAAGACGCAAGGGCAGGTACACTAGACAAATACTTGGAGAGAACTGTCTTAGAAATGCTCAAAGAATTAAAGAGAGATGTTGGGGCGCCTGGGTGGCTCAGTGGGTTAAACCTCTGCCTTTGGCTCAGGTCATGATCTCAGGGTCCTGGGATCAAGCCCCGCATCGGGCTCTCTGCTCAGCGGGGAGCCTGCTTCCTCTTCTCTCTCTGCCTGCCTCTCTGCCTGCTTGTGATCTGTCAAATAAATAAATAAAATCTTTAAAAAAAAAAAAAAAAACTTAGAGACGGAAATAGCCAAGAACACAATGTGTGAACAAATAAAAATACCAGGAAAGAAAACCTAAAGATACCAAAATAAATTCTTCTTAAAGCTGATAACTGTAATAACTGAAATTTAAAAATTCATTAAAGGGATTCAAAGGCAGACTGGATCAGGCTGGAAAAAGAATCAACGAACCTGAAGACAGGACAATGGAAATTACGGAGTCTGAGGAACAGGGGGAGGAAGAAAAAAGGGCCAAAGAAAAGTGAACAAAGCCTAAGTGAAACCATTAAGCAGACCAACATATGTACTAGGGGAGTCCCAGAAAGAGAAGACAGAGGAAGGGGCAGAGACAATTTTGGAATTACTGCAAAATTCCTGAATTCGATGAAAGATATGAATATAAACAACCAAGAAGTTCAATGAACTCCAAGAAAGATGAACACAGAGATTTGCAGTGAGACAAATTATACTCAAATTTTCAAAAGCCAAAGAGAGAACGTTGGGAGAAGTGAATTGTTACAATCCTCTCTATAAGATTATTTGCAGGTTTCTTACCAGAAACGTTGAGGACAGCAGTGGGCTGATGTATTCAAAGGGCTAAAAGAAAAAAAAAAACTATCAACCAAGAATCCTATACCTGACAAAGCCGTCCTTCAAGAATGAAGGAGAAATCAGGACATTGCCAAATAAACAAAAGCCGAGGGTGTTCACGACCGCTAGCCTTCCTCTGTAAGATGTGCTCAAGGGGGTCTGCAGGTGAAGCTGTACAGAGAAATAAAAATCTTAATACAGGTAAACACATGGGCAATTAGAAAAGCCAAGTGCTACTGCAGCAAAGGCTCATAAATGCATTTTTTTCCTACATGATTTAAGAGATTAAAACAGTTAAATAAAAAAAATTATCAGTGTAAAAGCTAGTATTATTGTAACTTTGGTTTGTGAC